GCACCTAGCTGTACCACTTGCATTCCAGATGTGACAACCTCATGCTCTACAACTTCCACTTCAGTTGAAGTAGATACAACCTCAACCACGGAAGCACCTAGCTGTACCACTTGCATTCCAGATGTGACAACCTCATGCTCTACAACTTCCACTTCAGTTGAAGTAGATACCGCAGAAACAGAAGGTCCTAGCTCAACCTCTTGCACTAATAAGTACCAACCAACTCCTAACAAATTCAATAACAAGAACAAGAGCAACAACAAATACAAGAACAAGAACAGCAACAACAGATACAAGAACAAGAACAGCAACAACAGATACAAGAACAAGAACTACAGAGACAAGCGCAATCGATGTAAGTTTTAATAAAGAATAAATTTCATAAATTTTATTTAATTTGAAATAATAATTTAATTAATCATTTTTAATTCATATTTTATCTAGTGATTGAAGAGATCTAAACGAATATAAACGCTACCCTCCTCTTCGTAGATGCGAGAACTAAGGAAGGGATAATTTCAACTAATTTACTTAATAAATTTTAATAATTATTTTAATTTTCATTTTGATAGAATAGAATATTAAATAGTTAATGGTTTAGTTAATTTCAATATACAAAAGTTTTTATATAAGGATTATAAAAGATAGAATGAAATGAATTTGAAATTCATTGGATACAAATTTTATTTTATTTTATAATATCGATAAATTGCATTAAGGAACAATAATTTTGTATAAAAAATGTAAAATGTTCAATATCATTATCATAATAATTAAAATATTTTATCATAATAAATGTTTATTATGATAAATATTTAGCATAATAAAATAATCATAATAAAATATTTGATCTTATATATATATATATATATATTTTATGAATCAAAAACTGGAATATTTATTATAATCACAGATAAAGCTTATTGATATAATGAAATTCATTTTGATTTTTTTTATAATATTGAACAATAATTTTGGATAAACTTTAATATCTTTATCATAATAAAATATAATAAAATATTTATTATAATAAAATATCATAATAAAATATTTATTATAATAAAATATCATAATTAAAAACGTGAATATTATTAATAAAGGGTTACTATTATTTACATTTAGGGGAAAATGTTTAATAATTGTTTCATCTAACTCATCTAACTCTTAGGAATATTATTTAGGCAACAATTGTTTAATAATTGTTTCCATCTAACTCTAACAATGTAAATCTAACAATAAGATAATGTTCTCTAAGATTTTTTGATCTAATCTAATCTTTTATTCTTCTTACCACAAATAATTCATTCCCTATTCTCATAATAATTATTACTATAATAATTATGGAATTTTCCAGAATCTAGACGTTTTTTGGGCATATGGCATTAACTTGTAAATTGATTGGATTATAAAATTACTGGGTCGCTTGTCAATTTTTTTATTTTTTTATTTATTTTTTATTTATTTGTTTATGCATCCAAAACATTCCTTTTTAGTAGTAATATTTATATTTTATTTATTTGATCTGATCTAATAAAAATCTGATAATGAACAATCAAATCCAATTGTTAAAAAAAAATTTCCCATCAATAATTCATACTTTTCTGACTGCGGAAAGATCTAACGTTTTTTGATCGATATATATATTTTTTTTTTAAATAATATATCGAGAAAATGATGCAATTTGATAAAATATAATATACTTATCTGTTATCAATATTATTTCCTTTTCCCATGAAAAAATTAAATATAAATACGGATTCATTTTTTTTTGATTTCTCAAAAAGAAATAAATTAATTAAAAATATTCACTAATATAATGTCAAATTATCCTTCATATCAATCCATTGAAGTTAATCTTCCTTCCCCTTCAACTCTCGGAGAACTCAGAAAATGTGATAATTGGCGATGGAAAAATGTGATATTAAAATCTATAGTGATATTGTTAATTTTTAGCTTTTTTTTATGGATACTCTTTTGGAAAGCATCTGAAGGTATTTTCATTGTTTTTTTATATTGTGAATACCACATTGCTTAATATTACTTAATAATTGAATACTAATTGAATAATTGAATAATAATTTTATTAATAACTTCCTTGATTGCGAAATCCATACAGAAAATTCATTCAATAAATCTAAAAATCCGGATCTAATTATTGCCAAACATGGAGCTGTTGCTTCGGAAATTGTTAATTGTTCACAATTTGGTGTAGATGGTACTCTTTAAATTTTAATACTTTTAATAATTTTTATATATTTTAAATTTTAATATTTTTAATTTTTTAATAATTTTATATATTTATTTTGAATTTTAATATTCTTAATTTTTAATATATTTTAAATTTTAATATTCTTATTTTTTTACTTTTTATATAGTTCTTAAAGAAGGCGGTAATGCTGTTGACGCAGCCATAACAACTCACATTTGTGTTGGAACTATAAATGTTTATGCTGCTGGTGTCGGAGGGTAAGTTTATCATTATCATTATTTATTATAATCATAATAATTACTATTATTATAATTAAAAAAATTTTTTTTTAATATAGAGGTGGTTTTATGCTAGTCCGCCGTCCTTCAGGTTTTGCGGAAGTAATTGACTTTCGAGAGGTAGCACCAGCCAAAGCTACTCGTGATATGTTTGTCAAAAACCCTGCGTTGTCTTTGTCTGGACCATTGGCTATAGCTGTGCCGTATGTAATTTTCTACTATTTACTTTATTCATATTTCATTTAATTTATATATTCTATAAATTTATCAAAAAAAAACAATTACATATAGGGGTGAAGCTCGTGGACTTAAATTAGCGCACGATAGGTAATTTTTATTTTCACATGATAAAGAAACTGACGTTCACGTGACTAACGAAAAATGATATAAAAAAAGACACGGCAAATTACCATGGAAAAGGCTTCTTGAACCATCGATTAAACTCAGTCGTGATGGATTTCCTATTCCTAAGGAATTGGGTAGTCGTATAAAGGTAATACAGTATATAATATAATGATGACAGTATATGACATGAAAATTTTCGTTATTCTTTATTTTTATTCTTAATTATGAATATCATATAGATGTATAAAAAGGAAATTGAACAAAATCAACCACTTTGTGATATTTTCTGTGATGACAAAAGACAAATATTGAATGAAGGAGATATTATCTTTCGTAAGAATTATTCCCAAACATTAGAAACCATTGCAGAGAATCCTAATGATTTCTATGAGGTAATATATTTATTTATTTATTTATTTAAAAAAAAAATACTTGTTACCGCTTGTGATAGTTACCGTTGGGCAAAATTAATAAAGTTAAGGTCAGAAAATTATGTGATTTTGCTCAGTGGTATCAATCATCACTGATGACAAAATTATTTATATTTTAATATATTAAAATTTATTTATTTATTTATTTATTTATTTATTTATTTATTTATATTTAAACATTTATTTAAGGGATCAATTGCCAAATCCATAGCTTCCGAGATTCAACGACAAGGTGGTTTAATAACTTTAGAAGATTTAAAGAATTATAAACCAGTTATTCGAGAACCACTTGTAGGTCATTATCAAGGCAAGAAGGTATTGTGTATATATAAAATATATAAAATTTTATATCACCAATTATTTATTTTATTAATATTAAATATAATTAAATAGTTATTTTATTAATATTAATATTAAATATAAATATAATTAATGATTTAATAGTTTATAACCACACCAGAGCCGGGTAGTGGAACTATCTTATTATTTTTATTAAATGTATTAGAAGAATTTAAATTTCACAAGAAAGGAAGGAATAAATTTAATGTTCATAGAATGATAGAAGCATTCAAATGTAAGTTTATATGATTTTTTATATTATTTTACGTGATATATTAATTTATTAAAATTCATTAAATTTGATAATAGTTGCAATTGCAAGACGTACAGAATTGGGTGACATAGCATTTGTAAATGATTTTAATTTTTTTTAATTATTATTATTAATTAAATCTTATTATTTATTAATTAATTAAATTTTATTATTAATTAGTTTGAAAATAAAACAGAACATTTAGAACGTATCAAAGAAATAATTTCAAAGGAATACGCAGCTGAAATTAGAGCAAATATTTCCGATGTAATTTTATAAAGATTATAATTATTATGATTTAATACAATTAATTATCATTAATATAATAATTAATATAATCATTATAAAAAAAAAAAGCATGAAACATTCGACACCTCATATTACAACCCTTTGTATGCTCCCAAAGAAGATCATGGCACAACTCATATTTCAGTTGTAGATGTTAATGAAATGGCTGTTAGTATGACTGCCACTGTAAGTATTACAATAATTACAAATAATTACTTTTATATATTTAATTACTTCCATATTTTAATTAGAAATGATTACTTTCTTATTTAGATTAATTATTTCTGGGGATCACAAGTAATGGATCCAGTTACTGGAATTTTGTTTAATAATCAAATGGATGATTTCGCTATTCCAATACCACCTTCCGTTGATCGTTTCTGGCCTGCTCCTCATAATTTTATCGGTAAATATAATAGGATAATTCATTTACTAAATATATGTATATATTATTTATTTCACTTATTTTTATTTCATTTATTTTATTTATTTATTTTATTTATAATAGTTCCGGGTAAAAAGCCAATGTCATCAACTATGCCTACAATAGTTGAACGTGCCAATGGTAAATTTGAGATGGCAATAGGTGGTAGTGGCGGTACTCGTATTATGTTGGCTGTTACTCAGGTAACCAAATTAATGATATTTTATTTATTTTAATAATTAATTATATATATATATATATTTTTAACTAATTTATATATATATTTTGACAGACATTATTAAATATCTATGAATTTGATATGAATGTTTTGGATGCTATTGATTATCCAAGATTTTATCATCCATTATTGCCAAATGAGGTGAAAATTTAAATAATATTAACCATGATTAATATCATTAATATTAATTTTAATAATAATAATAATAATAATAATAATAATAATAATAATAATAATTCATACAATGATTATTTAATAATAGTTATTCGTTGAATCCGGATACCCATTTGAAATATTAGAACATCTAGTCAATGTTGGGCATGTGGTCAGTATATTATTTATTATTTTTTTTATTTATTTTTTCTATTTTTTCATAAATTTTTTTTTTTTTTATAATTTTTATAATTTTCATGATCTCTTTTTTAGGTTAAAATTCATCATATTACACATCGTGAATATGGATGTCAAGTACAATGTGTTAGAAAATTTGTTAATGGATCTATTCATGGTAAATTTATATTTTATATAATTTTATATTTTATATATTTTGCATATTTTTTTATTTTATTAACAAATTTTTTTTTCTTAAATTAGCTGCTAGCGATTTCAGAAAAAGCGGTAAAGCAGCAGGATATTAGAATATTTTGAATATTATTAGACTTCAATGATTACATTTAACAATAATTATATTAATTATATAAAAAGTATTAAATAGTTTATTAAAATATTAAATATTTAGCAATATTATTATTTTTCTAATTTTTTTTTGTTATTTCATATTTAGAAATTGCGCAAGTTATTATAAAATGTAAAATGTTAATATAAAATGTTAAAATGATAATATAAATAAAAATTTACGAGATGTCAAAAATATGTACCACATGAAAACATATATATATATATATATCTAAATATTAGAGATTTTCTTGTTAATCATTTTTTTATTTTAGATTTTGAAAATGTTGTAAGTTAAATAAATTATTTCATAATATTATTATATATTTATATATATATATATTAATTCATATTTTTAATACTTTTTGCATTTCTGTATTTTCTAGTTTTCACATAGATAATTTGCCAGTATATTTTCCTTATGATAAAATATATCCTGAACAACATGCATACATGATAGATTTAAAGAAGGCACTTGATGCTGGGGTAATAAAAATAAAGAATTAATAATATGAATAATATGAATAATTATGTAAATTATTAAATGATTCATTTTTTTTTTTTTTTTAGGGTCATTGTTTGTTGGAAATGCCTTCTGGTACAGGAAAAACTGTATCATTATTATCATTAATTGTTTCATATCAAATGGTAATTATTTTTAATATAATGAATATTAAATAAAATATTATTTAGATTTTTCGATTGTTTTCTCCCAATAATTTTTTATAAAGTTTTACCCAGAAAAAAGGAAATTGATTTATTGTTCACGGACAGTACCAGAAATAGAGAAAGTATTGGCCGAACTTCAAAATCTTATGAAATACCGAAAATCTCGTGGATTAAATGAAAGATTTTTAGGATTTGGTTTAACTTCTCGAAAGAATCTTTGCATACATCCTGAAGTAATTATTTAATATATATTTATTTAATATATATTTATTTAATATAATTAATTTATTATATTTATTATTTTTTATAATTAATTTATGATATTTATTATATTTAATTTATTTATTATATTAAGGTAAGTCAAGAAAAATGGGGAAAAGTATTGGATGCCAAATGTAGAAATCTCACAGCTTCTTGGATAAGGGATAAAGCGGATTTATATCCCAGAGAAGAAGTTCCTTTATGTGATTTTTATGAGGTAAAAAGAAATTTTATATTGTCAATTAATTCGAGATTTATATTAAACATTATATTTAAAGATTATATTATTAAAAGATTATAATATATTAAAATTTCTAGCAATTAGATAAAGAAGATACAGATGAATTATTGCCAGATGGAGTTTATACACTTGAAGAGTTACGAGATTATGGCAAAGAAAATGATTATTGTCCATATTATTTGTCAAGAAGAATGGTATTTATATAATTTAATTTAATTTAATAAATTAATAATTTAATTAATATAATTTAATATATTTACTTCAATTAATAGATTAATTTAGCAAATGCAGTAATTTATAGTTATCATTATCTACTTGATCCGAAAGTAGCAGAATTGGTTTCAAAGGAATTATCTAAAGATTGTATAGTCGTATTTGATGAAGCACATAATATAGGTTAGTATATAATTAATCTAATTAATATTATCAATTGATTTATTAATAATTAATTTATTAATAATTAATTTAATATTAATCAATTTAATTTAATTTAATTTAATTTAATAACATTATTATAATAATAAAACATAATAATTAATATATAATAATAATATAATCTTTTTTATTTTTTTTAGATAATGTTTGCATTGAATCTCTGAGCATTGATCTTACAAAGCCAAATTTAGATGCAAGTGCCAGAAGTATAACTGAACTTTCAAAAAAAATAGAAAAGTATGATTAGTTGGAAAATATGTTAATATATATTATTAATAATCAGTACAATTCAATCAATTATTGCTCAATTATTATTCAATTAGAATTAAAGAACGTGATAAAGAAAAATTAGATGAAGAGTATACTAAATTAGTTGAAGGTTTATATAATTATTTACTTCTTATAATTATAGTTTAAAGTTATTTAATTAGTTATGGAATAATCAAGTTATAATTTAAAGAATATAATGGTCTATTTATATTATTAAGGATTAAAAGTAGCCAGTCAATCTCGAGATGAAGATATTTTTATGGCCAATCCTGGTATGAATTTATAAAGAATTTATAAGAATTTATAAAATTTATACGAAAACTATTAAATTTATTATTTATTAAATTAAATTTATTATTTATTAAATTTATTATTTATTAAATTTATTATTTATTAAATTTATTATTTATTAATTTTATTAATAAATTCGATTTCTTCAAATAAATATTCAAGTTCTACCTGATGATATATTAAGAGAATCTGTACCAGGGAATATTCGTAAAGCTGAACATTTTGTGACCTTTATGAGACGTTTTATAGAATATCTTAAAGTAAGCAATCAATATCAATTTATAATCTTAATAATCTTTCTTAATTTATCTTTCTTTATTATCTTTCTTAACAATAATCTTTCTTTGTCAAAGACTAGAATGCGAGCTCAACATGTGGTAGCTGAGTCACCAATTTCTTTCCTTCAACATTGTAGAGAAGTAACTTATATCGAAAGAAAGCCTTTAAGGTAATTCATTCTCTAATAACAATAGCTGGTAAAAATATTATTAAAATATTATAAAAAAAAATATTTATTATATACCAATATTAATGTAAATGAATTAACATTAGATTTTGTAGTCAAAGATTGATTTCTTTAGTTCGTACTTTGGAGTTAACAAATCTTGATGAATATTATGCATTACACAAAGTTGCAGCATTTGCTACTCTCGTTGCTACTTATGAGACTGGTAATTTTTAAAATATTCATTTTTATTATTAATCATTATTTTAATAATATTTAAAATAATAAATAATATCCTTTTTTTTTTCAATTAAATTAAAGGATTCAGGTTAATTTTGGAACCATTTGAGAATGATGTTGTACCGAATCCCATCTTTCATTACACGTAATTAACTAAATTTTTATATTTTATATTTATTAATTTTGTTATTTAAATTATTATATATCTAAGTCTTTTCGTTTAATAGATGTCTTGATGCTTCAATAGCAATAAAACCTGTCTTTGATAGATTTAAAACTGTAGTAATTACATCAGGTACATTATCACCTCTTGATATGTATCCAAAGATGTTATCCTTTACAGCAGCCGTTCAAGAAAGTTACTCAATGACTTTAACCAGAAACTGTTTCTTGCCACTGGTGTGTTTATTTATTTATTATTTATTATAGTATTATTATTATTATTATTATTTATTATTATTATTATTATTATTATTATTATTATTATTATTATTATTATATTATTTTATATAATTTACAAATCTTTTATTTATAGATAATTACAAGAGGAAGTGATCAAGTTGCTATCAGTTCTAAATTTGAAGTAAGGAATGATCCTGCAGTAGTTCGTAATTTTGGACAAATTCTTGTTGAATTCTCAAAGATTGTACCAGATGGAATTGTTGCATTCTTTCCAAGTTATTTATATATGGAGTCAATAGTTTCTATGTGGCATGATATGGTAATATTTTATTTTTATAATTTATATAATTTATATAATTTAATATATAAAATAAATCTATTTAAACATTTTATTAATTTATTTATTAATTTATTTATTAATTTATTAATTTATTCAGGGAATTTTAAATGAAGCATGGAAACATAAATTAATATTTATGGAAACTCCCGATGCAGCAGAAACAAGTTTAGCATTAATGAATTATAGAAAAGTAAATTATTTATTAATTGTATTTTATTCATTTTGTTGCATTTATTGTTACCTTTTATTTCATTTAATTAATTTTATTTGATTTAAAATCAGGCTTGTGATAATGGTCGTGGAGCTATTTTATTATCTGTTGCGCGTGGTAAAGTTTCTGAAGGTATAGATTTTGATCATAATTATGGTCGTGCGGTCATAATGTTTGGTGTTCCTTATCAATACACTGAGAGTAGAATATTGAAAGTGAGATTTTATCTTATCTTACGTTTTTTCTTTATTGAATTTATTAAATTTTATTAAATTTAAATTTATTAATATTAATTTTTAGGCTAGATTAGAATTTTTACGTGAGAAACATAAAATACGTGAAAGTGATTTTCTGACATTTGATGCTATGCGTCATGCTGCTCAATGTGTTGGAAGAGTTATAAGAGGAAAAACTGATTATGGACTTATGATTTTTGCTGATAAGGTAAAGATTGTTTTAAGTTATTTTAATTAATTTATAATTGATTTATAATTAATTTATGATTAATTTATAATTAATTTATAATTAATTTATAATTTGGATCTAATTAATTAAATTAATAGAGATTTGGTAGAATGGATAAACGTAGTAAACTTCCAAAATGGATAAATCAGTATATAACCGAGACTGCGATAAATTTATCAACTGATATGGCTTTAGTAATTGCTAAAAAATTTCTTAGATCAATGGCACAACCGTTTGAACATGGAATTAGTTTGTGGTCATTGGAAGATATTGAATCTAAATATGATCAAAATGTTGTTAAAAATGGATTCTCTAATAGAAGAATCAGTCTAAAAGATTAAATAAATCTTTATGAAAATTAATGTTATAAAATATATACATATATTTTGAAAGTAATTGTTATATTAATTTATTAAAATTTAATTAATATTTAATTAATATTTAATCAATTAACCATATTTTCATATTTTAGAGAAATCTTTATCAAGAATAAATAAATCTGTCAAGCCCTAGCTGTTACCTGAGACAAGTATTAATCTGAGTCGCTTCGTATTCTATAAATATATAGTAAGAAATAAACTACATATATTATAATAGAGTTATATGAATTTTTAAAATTTATGGTGGAGATCATATTTATTTCCTGATATTTTTAATGAATATTGTTTTTTATAAAAAACAAAGATTACAGATTGAATTGATTGTTGACTCTATTTCTTTCTGAAACTACTACTTTCTTTTTGATCTTTGGTTGAATACATTTAATAAATTAATTGGATTAATTGTTGTTAAATTCCTTAGTTTTTTTTTGACATATAGAATGCATTTTACCAAAGATATCGGACAAGATATTATTTGTTTAAACTGTTCAATACAGTACTATGTAAATTAATATTCTTTCAATTGATAATTTATTAATATATTATTTTATAAATACAAAACATTATTCTGGTTAAACATTTCATTCCTAGTCTTAGTCTTTAACTACATTTACCTGTGAAGATTAAAAAAATTTATTAATTTAAAAATTTGATTGATTAAATTCTGGAGATAGAAGAGATTTTGTATGCCATAAAGTGATTATTTTGAATTTCAACTTTGTGATGTTGATTTTATAATTTATTCTTCGCTTAAACAGTCGAGCAGCAGTAGTGCTTAACACAGCGGTTTTATCACTGCCAATAATTGATTTTAAAGAACGGATAAAGGAATATCAGCAGAAATTTTCTCTGCGAGAATTTTTTCTATATGCTGATTAAAAAGAAATAGGATAAAATTTTTTCATTGAATAGATGTCCAACAAAATTACTTTAAAAGAAAATCTAAAGTAAAATAAATACATAAAAAAAAAAAAAGATATTAAGAAAAAAAAAACTTTCCACGATTTCCTGATTGAATAAAATCATGTCGCGAATGAACCACGGACTATGTTACAGACAAACAAAAAATAAACAGTGGTATTATCAGGCATTTTATAACCATTTGCTACCAAATAAACTGTCACTTAAAGGCGGTACTGATATTTGCCAAATGTCACAGCTATTTGCCACTACCTATAAAAATTTTTAATAAAATTAATAATTTATTAAGTATACATATATTAATAAAATGAAAATGTAATAGATGTCTCGAGCTTTCTTAATTTCAAAACAATATATTGTTGTCTCGAACTTTCATGAACTTCTTAAACATATTCTATCGTTCGCCATTCACCGTAAATACTACAAATAAGGCATGTTCACATCTGATTTTAGTATTGGAATAAGCTCCGTTACCTTCCTTCTTGTCGATTGCTTGTTAAAAGAGAAGAGCAGACAATACAGGCAATTGAATGTATTGTAATCGACAAATTTTTCTCTGTCATCTAAGTCTTAGAAGCCACGTACATGTGCAGTATTTCTTCAGCATTAAATTTAACATAGAAACTTAATATCTCAAGCATCGGTTCGAAATCAAGTATTTTTTATTTGTATTGTATTTCTAATTTTGGAATTAAGAACGGAGACAATGCAGTTTTTTTAGCCGATATGATCTCAGGTAAATAAAAATTTATAAATACCGTTTGTAAAAAACAACTCATTTTTACTATTACTGATTTTAATTATAGCTTTCCAAGGAAAAGCATAAACTAATCCTGATTCAGAAAAAAATGCTACGGTTCTAAATAAAAGTTTCATATTTTGCAATTTAATATATTAGAGCAAAATGATTACATCGTAAATGATCAATATAATAATAAGAAATACTTTCTTTCCTCTCATAAAATAAAAAAAATTTAAATTTATTCTCTTCCCCTTGGATGTAGTATGTAGCCATACAATTTTTTTTTTCAGCCAATGTTTGCTTTTTATGTTTGTTTTATCCTTATGTTTTACTGATTTTTTTTTTTTTGGTATAATGTTCCCTTGTATTAACCATTATCTTTCTTGTAGGTATTTTACTATTTTTTCATTTCATAGATGTTTTTGTTAACTTAGCTATTTTTTTACTATGTTTACTAATTTCTTTGTCATATGAGTTCTTACTAATTTTATTAATTAGAACTATCTTTATATTAATGTTTTTTTTGTTTGATCATTATCTTTTTTGTAAATATTTTATTAATTATTAACTCTGGTCGATTTCGCTTGCACTTTTTTCGTCTAGCTACATTGTCGCGTGAGTTTAGATACGATAAGTTTAAATTAATGGATCTGGTAAGTGAATTTTCTATTTATTATTTTTTTTTGTTTTCTTAATTCAAAATTTCTTATTTTGCTAACCGTTTTTGTTGATTTCTATTTTATTGATTGCAGAATAAACGATTATGTAATATCTTCATTCCAAAATTTCTGGTACAATATGACAAAAATAAAACTTCAACCAATTACTTCGATTGCCCCAGAAAATTGTAAGAATTACAATTTCTGAAAAAAGTAAATTTATTTAGTGAGGTGATAATAAGATTATTATTTTATTTTACATTGTTTTCGTTTGTTTTCCAGTAACATTAATTGACATGACATTTATAATTTAAGAAATGAAAATTAATATAGTGCAAATTGTCTAGAATCATCAAGTACTCGGTTGATAGGTCTCATGATTTATCATGTAAATGAATTAAAATAATTGGCCATACGGCCATACAACTATAAAGCTAAAAATAATTTTATTCCATTATGTATGCATAATAAGCTTTGGAGAGTTTCTTTACTTTTTCCTTACTTATTTTGAAGACTGATGGCGCTTTGAACTTTTCTTGGCAGATCAGGAGACAACATAATCTTCTGTTACTCGAATTTGTCTCAATTTAATCAAAGGACGTTTTGTAAATCAGGAGGTATTTATTTTAAGGGATTATTTATTTAAGGAATATTGTTTATTATTTATTTAAGGGATTATTTGTTTAAGGGATGATTTTTTTCAATTTATTCATTTTACAAATTAATTATCCTCTTTAACTATGCCTATGTGCAACAAACGTACCAGACATTACTTGGCAGCTATAGAAAACCAGTGAAAAAAATAAATGACAAATTGACACAGAGGTTTCATATGACAATCTAGCTTTGACACTACCCTGACTGGAAGAAGATGAACCTGTAGATGATGATCAATTTATAGAAGAATTAAGGGGAGTAGAATCAAATGTATTTAACGAACTTATTGAAAAAGCAAGATAACCAGATATGTGGAAAACAAAAGAACGAAAATGATATTATACTGGCTTTGCTGAATCAATGTTATGTAATAAGTGTGCAGATTGGAGAAAAAGCAGCCTCAGGGTTCAGTAAAATTAACACTTGGTTTTCTAGTGAAACCTCTATTACCCTTCTAAACCTTTAACTTTGTAGAAGGATGATGGTGACAAAAACTTAAACTATTAAACTAATTTACTACTTTAAAAATCACACAAATATAACTTAAACTAACAATTAATTAAACTAAGATGTGTTTAAGGTAAAGAAATTATAGTATGGTCAATTATAAAAGATATGATTTAACTATTAACAGTGGTATGAGAACTTGTTAACACTGGTCAAATGATCAAAAATTGGCACTGTTATCCATGTAAACTTTTTACAATTTACAAAGACAATGGGATAAAATAATACTAAAACTAATAAACAAAACTATATAAAAACTATAAAATACTAATCTCAAGATAAAACAATCACAATATAAGAGTTTATATGTAGAAGGAATTAAGTATGATCAATTATGAAAGAGGTGTATTTATTATTAACAGTGGTATGAAGACTTGTTAATAGGAGCAAAAACGGTTTCTCAATTATCAAAAGAATACAACAATAAGGAACTCAAAGGATTTTGTAATATTAACTTTATTACTTAATAAATCCTAACTAAAGAACTGAAGAACTGAATTCGAAACTAAATAGAAACTGAAGACTGAGTTAAGGAAATTTTTAGCCTTTATATACATTATAATTTTGACTACTAAGCTTGACTGTAAACTTCACTAGTAACTATGCTAATATCCTGACTAGTACCTTAACTGTTAATTTAACTTGTACTTTGACT